TACTATTTGGCCGTAAAGTGCAACGTTGTAGGAAGTGTCGTGGTGTTCGCGGCTAACAATAAAAAGAGGTAATAATTGGATAAATAGTGTCTCCAAACGGCTTCTTTCAAATCGACTATAGTAGTTTAGTCTTAGTTTATCAAAATGGCCGAGAAATTTGATAACCTCGAGGAACATCTGGAGAAATTTATCGAGAACATTCGACAGTTGGGAATCATCGTTAGCGACTTCCAACCGAGCAGCCAGACAGTACTCAACCAAAAACTGTAAGTAATGTTTCACTCGACTCATAAACCCATAAAAACACTGTGTAAATTCGGTTTGTTGATTTCTCCTCCCAGAAATTTCATGATATCAGGACTTCAAGACATCGATAAGTGCCGCCAACAACTGGTCGAGATCAACGTTCCTCTGGAAGTCTTTGAGTGAGTCCTGAGGCTATTTCCGTGTATTTTTTAGCTTGTGTCGTTTATATTGTTACATTTCTTGTGGATTTAGCTGATTTTGCTCGTGATTTGGTGTTAGAAATACAGATGCTGAAGCGTTAAGAGCATTGCCTTTGTCCTGCAAGAGAGTCTCGCAAAATCTTGTTAAAGATTCTTTGAATTTACTACTGTCCTCACATATTGGGGGGCTTATTACAATTAAACGTTTATAAAATGTTTTTTCACGGTAATATAGCGCTACATTACTATTCGGCATGCATATACTGTTAATAAAATGGCTTGTTGGAAAAATATATTCGGGTATATGTACATATATATAGCAAATCACAACGTGATGTCAGATTTATGAAATCACTGGAGTCTTGATAGTGATGGAATGTGCTATTTTTCTGGTGTAACTGTACGTATTTTTTTATCAGTGCCTCCTAATGTCATCTTTGGCTGTGCAACCTTGTTTGTAGGTATATTGACCAAGGCCGAAACCCTCAGCTGTACACCAAGGAATGTCTGGAGAGAGCCTTGGCAAGGAACGAGCAGGTCAAAGGGAAGATAGACACCATGACGGTAAGAGATTAAACCAGGGACACTGAGATAATAATAGATAATAAATGTTAATAGCTAGAGTATTCCTGTTAAGTTAAAGTCAGCTTCTCCATATAGTTGTGACTAACTTTCCCCTTTTTGTTCTACAATTGAAGTAGACTGAAAAGAGGAATGTTGGTTAATGTCTGTTCGTAAATACACTTTTTCTGCCTTATTTGCCCTAACCATTTTTTTCCTTTTCTCCTGTCATTGCAGAAATTTAAGAGCCTTTTAATTTCCGAGCTTGGCAAAGTTTTCCCGGAGGATATGGCCAAGTACAGAGCTATACACGGAGAGGACTCCCCCTCTTAGTAGCTCCTTTGGTTCGGTCCCAGACCCTCAACCTGTGACTGACCAGGAGGTTCTGCGGTTCCCAGAAACGTCCTGACAACATTTTGAACTGATCTCTGAACCTTCGGGAGGGGATTTGATTTCAGCTCAGTGGCTTTGCTCAGCCAGTCGTCACCCTCCTTTTCATTTAAACACATTAAAAACTGGGTTGTTGTGTGCTAGGCTACATGGTTTGTGTTAAATCTCCTGCTGATGCATGGACGTAGCTGCAGTGTTTTCCCAAAGTCCTGTTGTATAAAAAAGAAAAGACTGCAAGCTTCTGCTGGGATTTTGCGTTAAGGAATTGACTCCATCATATGTAAATACTATCTATTTATACTCATATTCTCTACTTTTTATAATGCTTCTTTATCATGTGCGACATACATTTATACCACCTGCAGTTCATAGCGTTTTGTATCAAGCTCAGGTTTGTAAAAGCCACGACGGCTGAAGGCAAATGTGCTCTTTGTTTGTAACTTGTGGGGATTGTTATGTTTGTTATTAAATTGTTTCCTTTGAATTTATTGTGGCGTTTTTTGTTTTGTTTTTGTTTGTTGCTATTTGGATTTGGAATTTCAGTTGATTAAAATCAGGTCAAAGTGGAATTAAACCGTACTGCTTATAATTAGAAGCCAGTCAAAGACACAATCATAGATAACTTGGAACATCCTGAAACACACCATTAATTCTGAGTTATGTGCTCTGCTTCTGAAGCATTACCAGGCTCATTTATTATAAATGAGTAACTTTTTAAATTTTATTTTTAAGTGGGATGGGACACTGGCCTGTGTAAGGTCCAGACTAAAGGTAAAAAAAATAAGTGTTCACAAGGAAAAAAATGTAAAACACTTAAAGAAGTTAATCAGTTAAAGACTCCGTCAATTGATAACAGAGGAACTTATAATATCCTTCTCCTCAAGTCATTTGAAAATGTGTCCTATTCTAACTTTTTTGCTGGCGTTAATTAAATGGAGAATTCTTTGTTTTTAACCAAACCATATGGTTCACTTATCTCCTCTTTTATTAAAAAAAAAAA